GAACGGCCGCCATCTTGGGTGTGCCCTGGAACGGCCGCCATCTTGGGAGTGGCCGCATGGCCGTCTGCCATTACTAGAGGCCTTTTACAGGCCGCAGCCTTAACTGACTATTAGGCAGCCTGGGATTCCCTCGTCTCAGCCTGTCTTTCATTCCACCAAAGGCCTCCTGCAGAAATAGGGTCTGTTGGCCCTGCAGCCTTTTTTTCCCCAGCAGGCGAAGTAGCAGCTCTGCCCCCCCCCCACCCCTTCCCCGGTCCGTCCGGCAGGGGTAGCTGCCTGGCGTTCACCTTTCTGGCTGATTGGTCTCTGGGCTAGGCCCTGGTTCGTACCAAACCTCTATTTTAAACAGAAAAAAATTTTTTGACTAAAAGGGGGGCGTGGAACGTGCGTTGGGATTCCCGGCCTCCCGTAGGCCGCATCCAGACCTGGTTTCAGCTTACATTATTCCCTTCTGCCTGCGGCCTCAGGGTCATTGGTTTTTTTTTTTTTTTTTTCAGAGGCCTACCAGTAGGCCGCATTGTTTCCCTGACTCCTGGGCAGATCCTGGGACTGCTCAAATACCTTGCAATCCTGCCTAAGTCTCCCCCCAACTAAGGAGTTAGTTGCTTGCCATGTCCCTTCCCCGGTTCGCCCGGCAGGGACAGCTTGGCGTTTATTCTGGCTGATTGGCCCCCGGGCTAGGCCCTACTTCCCAACACGTTACAGAACAATTCTGTGGCCTTGACAAAAAAGGGGGTGCAACACGAGCATTGGGAGTTCCAGCCTCTGCTTTGGCTGTACCCAGACCCGTTAACCGCCTCGCATTAACCAAAAATTTTTTTTCCTTTTTTTCTCTCCTCTCCAGATGGCAGACGACAATACCTCTCGTGGCACTTCTCTGAAGGCCAAGGCCAAATCCCACCACCTGCGCAAACAGGCACAGGAACCATCCAAAGCTTCCCAAAGGGATGCCCTCAGGCGACACAGGGCCCTCGAAAGGGAAATTGACAGACGCTCTCAGGAGTCAAGCTCTGTGCCCCGGGACCCTTCCGTTCCATCAACCTCCACCCATCCTCCTCTCCCCTCCCCTCCTGCTTCTGCTTCTCCCCCACAGCCTGGACAGGCCCCTGAGGTCACCTTGCCCACCACTGCTGTAGAACTGCGCCCGGAGGAGTCTCTCCCCATGGCGGAAATACCCGAAAACCTAATGCAGGCTATGGAGCTGGCCATCCGGCAAAGGGTAGCACAACAGATGCAGCAGCTGGCCGGCCTGGCTCCTCGGCCCGCGGCCCCCGAGGCCCTAGGATCAGCGGCCTCGCATGGTCAAGCAACTCCCCAAGAGGACTTAACCTTACCTTTGGAGTTGGAGGGAATGGAGGCCCAAGAAACCGGGGACCCTTCCCTCTTTGGGGACGAGCAGGACCTTGACATGAGGTCCCTCATAGGCAGTGAACTCTTTTCGGGAACAGGTCCCCTAGAAGGGGACATGTCGGAGGACGAGGGCCTCCCTCCAGGTCAGCCCGCGTTTCTAGGGCTCTTTAAACCACACCTATTTAGGTCCCTCCTGTTCAAAGCCAGGACCACCTCGGGCCTGAACCCCCCTCCCCCACCCAACCCGGCGGCGGCAGGGGTTCCTCCCGACTCTCTCTTCTCTCAGCCCGTGGCGGAAACTGAGGTGATCCCTGTCCCGCCCATATTCTCAGACATGGTTTCTAGGCAGCTGGCCTCCTCGGGGCCCCCTTCCCCCCCCAACGCCCAGGACAAGCGGTTTTTTAACCTGGAACCGCAGTTCTCCACCTTGCTCGA